GATGAATTCTTTTAAAATAAAGAAGTGGAAAAAGATTAGTATGAGTTAATAAATATTGAAAATTTTTTAAATTTTTTGTAAATAAATAGAAAAAAATATAGAATTATATTATATACATAAAACAAAAATAATAAAGAAATTTCTCTACTTTGTAAAAAAATTAGAAAAAGTAGAATTTAAGGTAATTGTATTTTTAATTGAATTTAACTTAATTGTAATTGTAAAAAATTATTCTAATTTAAAAAGAAAAAAAAATTTTTTAAATTGTATTTATAACATTTATGATTGTAGCATCGTCCATTTTGTAAAATGATATAAAATGGAAAAAAAATGAGTTTAATCAATGAACATTAAGAATTAGATATTTCTTTAAAAAAAGGGGGGAAAGAGTTCGAGCGATACACTATGTGTATAATTTCAAAAATTGCACCAAGCATCAAAACACGCCTAATTATCACTAATTGTATAATATACTTTGCTCAAAATAATTAATTAAAAAAATTTTATATTTGTATATTTTATCTTAACTTTGATATTTATAAAGTATAATAATAATTTTATCACAATTTGAATAAAGTATTTAATTTATTTTGAGTAGAATATTTGGCACTTTGCAAAACAGTCATGGCACTGATAAAAAATATATTTTATTGATGTGTTCATGTAATCATATAATTTTATTTTGCAATATTGTATCATTAATTATTAATATTATTATCTGAAAATTTTTCGTAAAAAAAAACTATAATATATATTTAAATGATTTATGAATCCATAAAATTTTTTATTGAATCAATTTAATATACATATATGTTTTGTTAAATATTAATAGAAAAAAATATTTAATTGAAAATCATGTTATTTATAACTAAATTTAATTATAATTATATTGTTATTATAGAATATTGCCGATTTTTTATTATCATTTTGAAAAATTAAATTTTCACAAAATATTTCTTTATTTTCTATTCATTTATTAAATAATTTTATTAAAATAAAATTCAAATATTTTTTATTATTATTTACAATATTTAATTACAATTTTAATTTAACAAAAAAAAATATATAATTTATAAATTAAGAAAAATATTCCTGAAAGATATCTTTAATATAGTGATATACAATAAGTGATATACAGCAAGTGATATACAAGTGATATATAATAAAGTGATATATAAAAATTCCTAAAAATTATTGCAAATGTATGTTTTCGAGATATTAGATATTTCATCTAAACTGTACTATTAAAAATTGGCATTACTTCATATCGAAAATCGACACCACATTCACATCGAAAATCGATGTTATGTGTCGATTATTCTTATTTCTTAACTGATAAACTTAAATAATAATGAATCCTTTTCTAAAATTTGCACACAAAAAAGTACGATTAAAACGTGCATAAAAGAAAGGTGAACAGCGATCATAAATTTTCCGATGACAGCCATACTTAAAATCCTTAAAGTTTTCTCTGCATCGAAGAATATGTATCTTTTGAAACCGCCTCGACTTTTTAATCATTTTATCAACTATCAAACTGTCAAACTATTTAGAACGTGAGTAATAAGGATTTTGAATGATTTTTAACGATTTTTGTATTTCATTAATTATTAGATATTTTATAAATGTTGAATGAAACTTATAATTAATTATGATCATAATAATTATTATATGGAGCGTGTGCGAAATTTATTGAAGCATTATCATCGTCGTCGATAGAATTGTTTTGTAGCGATAGAGTTATGAGGGGGTTGCAAAAGTTGGATAATAGGGTTGATGTTACGTAAAAGTTATATAGGATATATATGCTTATATATATATATATATATATATAAAATGCTTCAAAGGAAAATAGTCAATGATCATAGATAAATGAAAACAGATAATATAGTTATTTTTCATGGAATTCAATGTTATTATACTTTTCTCTTAATAATTTTCAAATGTACATTAATAAGATTGTTTATAATATTTTTTTAACATTATTAAAGAATAATATAGAAATTTTTTTGAATATATATAAAAATATATCTAATAATTTTATATGAACAGAAAAATTAAATTTTATTTGTTATATAATTAAAAATCTTTGATAATTGGACTGTTATTCTGCTCTTTATTTATTTTTAAAAAAAATTTAATATATATATATAAAATATTAGCAATATTAAATTCTTCCTTCTTAAATCCGATACAATAAAACATAAAACGAAAACAAGAAAAATTAATATATTAAAAATTTTTTTAAATCTTGAAATATATTCCATTATTAAAAAAAAAAGAATTATTTCGCGATTATGATAGACAATCTGATGTAAATAATACGTATATAAACAGATATAATTTTCGTGATAAGGCATGCTGATAAAGAATCAAAACAACACTCACATATAATTTTGATTATTTATAGAATAATCATCAATCTATCTATTAGTACGGAAATCAACATGTATCTAAGTACAAGAAAAAAAAAGCTAATTTTTTTGTTTTCATTAATTTATTTAATATTTTTTTATCTCATGTAAAAAATAGTTAATATAAAAATATTAAAATATAAAATATTAAAATTTTTTTATAATTTGATTGGATTAATTTTAATATCTTATTCATAATTTTTAAATTTTAAACATTTAACTTATATTTTATTTTTATATTAATTAACGTGTAGAAAATATAATAGAAAATTATAATATTCTTTTTTTAAAATAAATTCTTAACAAATAAGAATGAAAAAGAAAATTTCAAATATTATTTTTTCTATGTTATATTTATTTCTTATATATATATATATATATATATATAATATTTAATTTATTAATATTCAATTTAAATATTTGATATAATTTTTTTACAGCAAAAAAAGTAGCAATATGGTTGACCAAGCTGTGTTGGATAAACTAGAGACCGGCTTCACCAAATTGTCTAACTCAGACAGCAAATCATTGCTGAAGAAATATTTGACCAAGGAGGTCTTTGATCAACTAAAAACGAAGAAAACTTCCTTCGATTCTACTCTTCTAGATTGTATCCAATCTGGTATAGAGAATTTGGATTCTGGTGTTGGTATTTATGCTCCTGATGCTGAGGCTTACACACTTTTTGCTGATCTCTTCGATCCCATTATTGAAGATTATCATGGTGGTTTCAAGAAGACTGACAAGCATCCACCAAAAGACTTTGGAGACGTTGATTCTCTTGGCAACCTTGATCCAGCTGTTAGTATTGAAAAATATAATCTAGACATAATTTAATAATTAATTAAAGTTTATATAATTAATTTCGATATTTTCTATATGTTATATATATCTATATGTTATCAAATTTTCAGATAAATAATGCTTATCTTTATTCGAATAATAAAGATAATAATAGTTTTTATCATATAGTTTTTTTTAATCAGATGAAAATTATAAAAAACTCTATCATTTGTAATATATTTTATATAATATATTTTAAATAGAAAAATATTCTCTTAAAATTTTTATGTATTGATTAATGTTTTATTTTTTTTTATTTTTTTCTTTTTTTTTTTTTCTTTTAGAATGAATTCATCGTTTCCACTCGTGTAAGATGCGGTCGCTCCTTAGAAGGCTATCCATTCAATCCTTGCTTGACCGAGGCTCAATACAAAGAGATGGAAGAAAAAGTCTCTAGTACTCTGTCAGGCTTAGAGGATGAACTCAAGGGAACTTTCTATCCTCTAACCGGCATGAGCAAAGAAATTCAACAAAAATTGATCGACGATCACTTCCTGTTTAAAGAGGGTGATCGCTTTTTGCAAGCTGCTAATGCTTGTCGCTTCTGGCCCACTGGTCGTGGTATTTACCACAACGACGATAAGACCTTCTTGGTTTGGTGCAACGAGGAAGATCATCTTCGTATTATTTCCATGCAGATGGGCGGTGACCTTGGACAGGTAAAAATAAATATCTTTTTAATTATTTATCTTATATCAATACTTTATAAGTTTGTAAGTTTAATATAATTAATTAAAAAAAAAAATCTTAACTTTTATAGGTTTATCGTCGTTTGGTACATGCTGTAAACGAAATCGAGAAACGACTTCCGTTCTCACACAATGATCGTCTTGGTTTCCTGACTTTCTGCCCAACTAATTTAGGTACTACAGTCCGCGCTTCTGTGCACATCAAGCTGCCTAAATTAGCTGCTAACAGGGCAAAACTTGAGGAAATCGCAGGAAAATTCAATCTCCAGGTTCGTGGTACTCGTGGAGAGCACACTGAGGCTGAAGGTGGCATCTACGATATTTCTAATAAACGACGTCTTGGTCTGACTGAGTATCAGGCTGTGAAGGAGATGCATGATGGAATCGCCGAGTTGATTAAACTCGAAAAGGAACTTTAAATAACGCGCCAGAGACAAAGCAACACGCGATTATTTCCCTTTATTCGTCCTTTAGACGTTCTTGATACATCGAGGATCCTTTCTTTGAAAAAGATATAAAGATCTTCATTATTACATCATTTTTGTAAAAACTGAAAGAAACGATGAACTATTCGAAAAGAAAAGTCAAAGATTTTGTATCGTAAAAAATGAAGTATTATAATTCGTTCTCGTTTCCAAACGTGAGAAAAAATTAAAAAATAAAAGAACTGTGACTGTTCTGAAAAATAAACAAAGAAACAGCAATTTCTAAAAAACAATGGGGCATTTTTTTGATTCACGCATTTTGTTACGTGAAATAAAAAATAATAGACGATTTTTGTCTTCTAATTTTAAATAAATCCTAATCCTCGATGTGCTAAGATCTCTTCAACGCAGCTATAAGCGCGTACTTCTTAGAGTTCTAAACGGTCGATGAAAGCTTGGTTCACGATGAAATAATTTCTAGAAAGGTTTAGTTCGTCTAGTCGAAACCAAAAAAAAAAAATTAAAATGACAAGCATTCTGAATTTTGAAAGATATCTAGAATTGTTATCGTGAATGATAAGCTTTGCACGTCTCCAAGGTCTCCATCTTTTCTTTACACACGCGTTATGATTATTATTATTACTACTATTACTATTATTATTATTATTATATTAATTAATATTATTACTATTATTAATATTATTACCATTATTATTATGTCTCTTACGTTGAATCAAGTTCCTTTTTATCAGTCCATATGAACAAAATGAAAAAGAGAAGAGCTACTTGTATTATATGTTACGTATAATACGCATTATTATATTTTCAAAAGTATTTTACTTTTGTTTCATCCTATTTTTTTTAAAAACATGTAATCCAGCATGTAGAAAAAATACACGCAGTATTCTTTCATTTTCTCTTTCATTTTTTATTCTTTTTATCTGTAACCTTCTTTTGTTTTTTTTTTTTTATTTATCGGAAATATCCTTATATCTACACGTATTATTTCGTAAAAATTCTTCAACATTTGTAATAATGTCTAACTACGAGGCAAAAATGAATTAATCATTATATAAAAATTTGCATTGATTGAACGGATCGCGATGTTTTCCGCTGTTGAGGATGTTTTGAATTCTGTACAATGTTTCGCAGAAAAAAATCGATTTCAATTCTATTTAATTTTTTTACAATCATGAACAGATTTTTTGTTCATGTCAAAATAAATCGAAGTATCATTTAATAATAATAAATATAGAAAATAAGTTTATATAAATAAAAAAGAATCATTTTTCAAAGAATATTTCTATCAATATTTAATATTATTCAATATTTCAATTATCAAACTGTTATCGTCTTGGTATCCTTCAAAACTTTTATGGAAACGTTGATTTAACGATTATATTATCTTTTGAAATAAAGTTATATTCTGTAAAAGTAAAAGAATTCTTGCTAAGTAACAAAATCTATATAAATTTTGTTTCTAAATAAATATTATAAAATTTAATGACAAAAATAATTTTTGAATATTGAGAAATTCTGAACTATAACAAAGAATTTTTGACTCTTTCATTTTGAAATCTAAATCTAGTTTACAAATCCGATCTTTGATGTGTTAAAAAAAAATGCAACAAGTGCAATGTCTGCAACATCCCGGCAGCAGTATTCTAACGTATGTAGGAAAGGATGTTACACGCATGTTGTTTTTGCATTCTCGTTTTTTACCAAAACCAAGAACATCTGCGACGAATATAGCATACTAAATGCTGCAGCTGAGACAGTTTCACTATCAGATGTATGAAAATGTGAGTTTAAAACACGAATAAAAAGACATACGTAATAATATACTACTTTTTTCTTTAACTTTACCTCTTTTGAAAATATAACAGGAACTGCATATTTTTGAAAAAAATTATTAATTTTATTTTGTAAATATAATAGTATTTATAATAAGTGATTTTTATATAATAATATTATATAGAATTGTAAAGTTAATTGAAAATTTAGGAATTGAATAACTTATTTAGTCTTTTAATAGAAATCTCAAAAGATAAATCTCACACAACTCGCGAAATCTCACACTATTAAATATACTTTGAATAATGAATAATATTCTTACTTCAAATTATTTACTAAAATACAAAAATATCAAATCAATAATATTTATAAATCAAAATCGTTAATGATATTGTACGTTTTGGTATAAATATTTTTTTCATTGTAATATTTTATTTTATAGTAAAATACTTTGTCTTCTTCGTTTATAAAATAAATCCTGAAATATAAATATTTATAATGTTGGTAAATTTATAAATGCTAATATCCAATTAAATTTTTGTAATAACTTACGAGTAAAAAACAAGCACCAAGAAGAATACTTTTAATTTTAACATCTAAATCTAAAGGAAAATTTATATTGAAATCACCAGTAGTTATATCGGTAAAAGGAACGAAATAATTTAGCATTTTAAACGTTATTTTAATTTGTCCAACTTTATGTTTATCATCTGCAGATTTTATCTGAAAAAAAAAAAGAAATTACGTATTAACTAAATATATATATATATATATGTATATATATACTATATGTTAAAATTAATATTTTTACCTTATACACTATTATGTTATTACAACTTGGAAACCTTGGTCCTTTTAATTTTAAAACAGTTTTCCCAGTCGAATCATTAATAGAAAATGTTGGCCTTAGAAAGAAACAATTTTGTGAAACAGAACCGAGTAATATATCTTCAGAATACACTTGTAACTTCTACAAACAAATTAAAAAATTCAAATTATTAATCTTAAAACTAGATATATATATACAATTAAAAAAATATGTACGTATATATAAAAAATAGCGGTAATTTCAAAATTATATATTATTATGTACTATACATATTCAAACAACTTTTGGCATTTACTAAAGAAAAAAAATTAAATCATATTTAAGTTGAATTAAGTTGAATTTCAAAAAAATATTTACACTTAATATCTTCTTTAAAAAAATCATGTACATTTTTATATATAGATCTATTTCAAAGAATTTGCACAAAATGAATAGTCAGCATTACGCTCAGTTATCAGTCTTTTTATTTTGCACATTATGCTAAATATATAAATTATAGATACAAATTATAGTAATCGTTCGATGTATAAATCAAATTTAATTTATTTCTTTTATAACTTGCATATATAATTTAAAAAAAAATTTTATAATTTTATAATTTTATACTATCTTTAAAAAAATAAATTTTATTATTCCATGAATGATTTTTGTAATAAAGAAGAAAAATTTTTACCAGAGAAGTTACATATAATTATATGCTTTAATTCACGTAAAATATACGATAAATTATTTTGACGATTTACTTTTTCAGTTGTTTCGTATCCAAAAACATTTATAACTGATGTTTGTCAAAGGGTTTTGTTCCTAATGCTCTCATATGGGATCAAGTGAACGAGGTTCTTCACCGCAGACTGAAACAACACGTCCAAAAGCGTCGACGAGCGGTGCTAGTCAAAGAGTATCGATCGTGACCGGCTTTTCTAATGGGCCGAATAACTTTTCGTCAAAGGTAATCTACAGATGGTGCGCACGTGTGAAGAAAGTTTGCGCATTGTGTGCACCGCATGTTCGAGAAACTCAAGCGAACGTTTCGCGAGCTGTATCTATTAGTTCATCATAAATAAAAAAGCAATTATGGTAACATGGCTGGGGGACGTATCTTTCATTGAATTGATTATTACGTTCATATAAAATATGCTATCGTTATACAATTACGAAGATAAAATAATATGCGATTGTTATATAGGAAAAATAAACAAAAGAATCTATCAATAGATTAAATAAGATAAATGATAAAAATCAGAGATTATGCAATTAATATTGATCATAAAAAGAAGCAATTTAAATAATTAGCATTTAAATCTAACATTATTAAAAAAAACTTTTCATTACACAAAGATATACAAAGATATTAAAATTTTTTAATTGATATGTTGCGATTGACATTTTTTTTTTTCGAATTATTACCACGCGTTCGATTGTTAATTCAAATATTTTTTATAACATGAAGATAACAAAAATACCTGAAATGAACAAGTAAAAGGTTGAACCATACGCAGAATTTCTCTTCCGTAAGTATCAGTCACATGAAATTCACAAGTACGAGAAGCACCCAAACATAAACGTCCCCACCAATCTGATTGTTCCGTAACATTAAATATTGTCTCTCCTCTGATATTCAACACGAAGAATTCATTTTTAGCATTCCAAAAATGATCGACTGTAATTATTTCATTGATTTATATACACATTATATTAAACTGTAAATTATATAATGAAAGACATAACACATTTATTTTAAAACCAACCTTCTATTGTATTTTTCAGCCGTATACCTAAATAATCAAGGACTATAAGGTATTCCAAGCCGGTTGGACAAGTCATATTCGGCAATGATAAGCCACCTTAAAATATAAAATAAAAAACATATTGAAAATTATATTTCTTCTTTTAATTAGATTAATTAGATTAATCGATTGACTGTTTTTTAAATATTTTTAAACCAGACTGAATTTCAAAATAAATTCGAATATTTATTTAAATTTTAAATAAATATTTCTAATTTCAAATTTAAATTCAAACTTATTTGAATTTTTATTTTTAAATCAGAATTATTAATTTCACACAACATTAAATTTTCGTTAATATTATTTTACCTGATCAATTAGTTTTTTAAATTTATTTTTAGTTCATTTAATTATTATTCAAGCATGTAATAGAATTACCTCTTTTCATCATCCGTGAGAAATCTGGTATAACCCTTTCTCTTTGATCTATATTTTTTTAACGTGTCCCTAAATAAAACACGAATTCGTTTTCGTATTTGTTGTATTTTTGTTTTCCAAGAAATTTCCAAGTATTCAGATTCCATCACTTATATATTTTTTCACAACCAACATTCACTTTTAATTTTTCTCAATTATAAAATAAATATATCAAAACATTTTATCTAATAGTTTAATTGTATTTTAATATGTATTATTTTTTACCATCACCATTTTTTCTCATAAATTCTTTCTCATTTTTAATGCATGAAAATATATTTCATTCATTTATTTAAAGCAGGCACGAATAAAATTGTGTACTGAATTATTGGAAGCACTAAATACACTAACGATCGTTTGTTTTCTCAAGTTTCTCCTTCTCAGCAAAATGATAAACTTGTGTATGTACTTTCCTTGGGACAGATTTACCTCTTCAAACGACTCTGCGTTTCACGTTATCTTTGTAGATAAATAAAATAAAATAAATGCTTTCCTCTAGGTTAAAACTTTTCCAGCTATAATATCTTAAAATAATTGAAGATATTTTTATCCTAACATATTTGTTCTCTTTGTATTATTATTTCTGATAATTTATTTTAACAAATAAAACAAAGAAGAATAATATAACAACTAAAAGCATAAAAATATTTAATTACGAATGAGAATTATAATAATTTCAACTTTATTCAAATTATATATAATTTAAATATTTATTTTATAAAATAAATGATTATTCAATTCAATTGATCAATTTATAATTATATATCACAAATATCAATATTTACTAAAATATTGTATTCTGAACATCGTATTGTTCAGAAAAAACAGATATATTGAAGATCTTCATATGAAATGGAATTTTATGAAACGTAATTATGAATAATTATGTTATTCATCGATAGTAAATTGTCAATCCGCCGACGCATGTCTGGATAGACGAATTATTTCATAAATTAAATAGAACATTATTTAATTTTTACACATTATTAATTAATCATGAATCATGTTAATATGCAATAATATTACAGAATTTTCATTTCATTCTATCGCCAAAAAAAATTTTTTAAAATTTCATTCAAAGGAAAAAATTTTTTCTTTATTTTTTCTTATCTAACGATAAGAGTTTATAGAAATAAATATGTTCAAAATTCAAGGTTTCTTCGGGCGTCAATTGTATTCATTTCATTTGTATTCACCACAACTTCATTCTTATATTACTATCCGTAAAGTGAAACCAAAAGAAGCAAACAAAATAACGAATATAGTAATGAATAATATATTTTTTAATGGAATTTTTATATCAGAAAGATTTCACTGTTAGAAAAATATACGAAATGCAGCAATTATTTAACATCTATGAATTGATGATCTAATGAAATGAATCTAGATTCATTCATAATTAAATATCAACATTATTATTAATATCAAATATAAAAATTTCATTTACCCGAAATTTTTATTCAACACTTGCGATTATAATTATAGCTATTCTGTTATTCATATAAAAAAGGTGGCAATATTATTAACATAAGATAGTATACCGATATTTGCACAATGCATTTTCACAAACAATATTAAATAATTTAATACAACTACACTCATAATCTGTAAATGAATTAGTTAATTCGTCTTTTTCAAACAATTTGAACATCGATCGAGATCTAGTTGAATTACGCGTAGGAATATGATTAATATTTACCGCCGATAAAAGAGCGAAACAAGCGACAGGCACATGAAACTGGATGTCACTTATCCCGCTTACGTGACGCTTCCATCAACGAAGACAACTATTATCTACTTACTGATCGTCACTTGGCAAACAGCGACTATATCGTCTATCGTGCTATCATGCCTCGAAGTTCATAATACGAACTTCTTTTCACATACCATATACTTTGAATTTATAAGTTATTATAATATTATCTAAAATAAGGTATGTAACTATTTATCTAATTGAAAAAATTTTATTTTATAATAACTTTTTTCTCTTGTTTCTCTGATTTATTATATACGATAAAAATATTTTTATCGATAAAAATAAGATAAAATTAACATAATTATATCTTTTATTTTTTATGTTAAAATGTTTATATATTTATTGACAATACATATAATATAAATATACATATTATAAATAATATGTATACATAAATATAATATAAATATAAATAATATAATTATAATTATAAATAATATAATATAAATATACATATTAAAAAGAAAAATTGCAGCAATATAAACTAAATTGATACTTATATAAATTGATGCTTAATTAAATTTATTTTTATAAGCTGACAATTATAATTTATATATTATATATGTATAAATCTGTAATTAAAAATTTAATAATTTTTTTTTTCATGTATATTTGTTTGAATAGTTTTTATATAATTTAAAATTATAATCATACTTTTCTTTATTTTTTTTAATGATTTACAAATTTAAAATTAACATATGTTTCAATATTCGATTTACAATCAGTAGATATCATATTTAAAAAATACTTTTAACAAAATCTGTCAAAGAATACACATATACATATCTTACGAATTTCATAAACAAAATTTATATATATATTATACTTAAGTAAAATCTTTATCAATGAGGAAATTTTTATTAATAACAAAAATATATAAGATATATTTAAATGCTTATATAAGTAACAATAATCATTGGTACATAATAGAAATATACATATATATAAAAAACATTAAAAATGCAAATAAATTTTACCTTCTCGTATGATTGGCACTTCGGATTGCGGAGATTCATCCTGTATTGGTGCAGTTGGTGAAAGATGAAGAGAAGTCATGTTTATTTACCTATATACATATCAAAATTATTACATATAATAAGAATATCTATATTATTGTAAATAATATTGTAAATATTATTTATAATAATTTTTAATAATATTGTAAATTGTAAATATTGTATTATTGTAATATCTATATTATTACATATAATAAGAATATTATAATATAATATAATAAGAATTAATATTTTTATTGATGTATTTATAAATATTTTTTAAATTCTATCTAAAAATTATAAAAAAATAATATGATTACTTTAATCTTTAATTTTATTTTTTTTAAAAGTTCAATAATGTATTAATTATTAATTATAATATATATATAATATATATATATATATATTATATTAATTATTAATTATAATATTTTTAGAATATTTTTGTTAACATATAAAATTAGTGCATCTTATAAAAAATTTATTATTATAAATTATTAAAAGAATTATAGATTACTTACTTATATTAATTATAATTTATTTAATGTATAAAAACTAAATCATATAATTTTATATAAAATATCAATAATTAAACAAATTTCTCTTTGATTTGTTAATTTGATTTTGTTTTGATATTTAGGTTATGTTTATGTTATATATAAATTCCTCAATCGGTAATACTTTTTATAAATACCTCCTTTATCAACAAAGCAGATATACTGAAATTTAGTTACGAACAAGATCGTATGGTGACGAACTCCATCATTACACTGTTTACGTTATTGAAATTGTCAGGTCATTGTCCGCTCAAGGGTCGTTGTAACTGAGGACATAAACTATATAAACTATAGTTGATAACTTCTTTTTTAATTGATAACAATCCTTTGTCTTTCGATATGTCTATGATCGATAAATTACATGAATATTAATGATTAAATACTAATTAAATGTATTATTATATTGCAACTATTATATTGTTATAAATTCAAGAATAAAATATATGATATTGTAGACTATTTCCATATTTTTACTATCATTGTTCATGCATCAATTAAAAATGTTTTTCATATTAGAATTATTTAAGAATTATTTACAATTATTCATATATTATTTTACATGTTGAATGATTCATTTTAAGTATTATAAGTTATTATCTCGAGAACCATTAAGGATAAGAGAAAATTTTTTTAAATGTTATATTCTTTTTGTCAACAAAATAAAACACTATTAATAATTTTTTTTAATATCATTAAATTTTAAAAGATAATTTTGCAATCTCTAATATTTTCCAAGAAAACATTTTTTAATACTTTGTATATATTTTGAAACATGCTATATATTTCTTCGTTGCTGCAGTTCTGTATTTCCACTTCATTGTCAGTCTATTTAGGTTATATTTATATTTGATCATTATAATACATCAAATTTTCATTATCTTTTATGTAATATAAATTATTAATAAATTATTAAATTATAATAAATTAATATATATATTAAATTATGTATACAAAATATATATATATATATATATTTTATGTATTTTATATGTATTACATATATATATATATATGTGTAAATATAAAAAAAAAAATATGTATAAGATAAATAAAAATTTTTATAGATTTTTTGTTTTATATTTATATTATATAATCATATCATATATAATATAATAATAATATAATAATATGATAATAAAAAAAACAAAGAAAAAAAGAAATATCATTATAAGATAAAAAATCAAGTGAAAAAACAAATATATAGAAAAATATGTAAAAAAATTTACTATCAATTAAAAAAGATTTTAAATTTTAAATTTAACTTAACTTACCTTAAACTTATCTTAAATTATTTTCATTTCATTGCACTAATTTTTAATAGTGTTGAATTAGGTTTCATGAGACCTAATTGACAGTTTCCTCGTTTATTACGAACAATTTCGAACAACCTCGATGACTTTTCGCTCGTACAATTTTTTTTTTAATGCATGCATTCATAACATGCACTGATTACGCTTTTCACGGTGAACGAACGACAAATTAATCAAATTAACGCTATATAATCGAAGCGGTAACTAAATTTCGATGCTGCTCTAATTAATGAGAATCATTGATAAGCATGCCAATAAGTGCATGTGCATTTCAAGATTATAATATTATTTTGTATTCAAAATTAATATTTTAAATAAATCATCTTATTTGCTTATTCGTATAATTAAAATTTTCATTGTTCTAGTTCTTAATAATTTTTTTATTTATTAGCATTAATAGTTATAATATTTATATTTAAATAGTAACGTAACATATTGTAAATTTATATAAACTTTTAGTAAAGTATAATGTATTATTTTATAAATAAAACATTTTAGTATGTGTTAATACTAATTATTATTTATTTATTATTACTTATTATTCTAAATTAAATCGGTATTATTATTAAATAATTTTGTTTTTTTTTTGTATAAAAAATTCGACTAAAATTAAAAGACATAATATTAAAAAAATAATAAAAATTAATTATGAGTAACTAATTATCATCACTAAATACGTATACCTAAAATGATGCATTATTCAGTTATGTACACTTTCATCGGATGATGTCATTGTGTCTCACATGTATCTACGTTCGCATACCACAAGGTCGTCAGCGCCATGACTGCTGGAATGACGTATTTACATGGCACACTAATGCATGGTTACGCCCTTTGACGGTGGAACACGAAACATGAAATTTATATATTATATTTCTTCATTTCCTTCCTTCTTTTTCTCTTCTATTTTTTACTATTTCATTTCTCAATATAATCCAAAAAAAAAAAGGAAAACTTAATACTAAAAATATATAAAAAAATAAATTTAATAAAAAATAGATTTTAATATTATACAAGTTTCTTTCTAAATTATTTTCTATTAATCTATTTTAAGAATTTGTATATAATTATATTATATATGTATATTTATATAATCTTGGAAAAATAATAAGAAATTTTATATAGTTAAACTTTATAATTAAACCGACTAACAAATAGTAGTTTTTAATTTAATTCCATAACTTAAAATTATATAATTGTCTATTTATAAAAATATTAATTAAAATTAATAACATTATTATCAATAATAATTTATGTCTAATAAATCATTTAATGAATTAATATAATATTACATTTTTATTTAATTATAATATATATAATGAAATATAATTCAAATGATTTTTATTAATAAAAAATAATTTATAAATACTTAGAGAAACAATTTTCAATGATTTGTAAAAATAAATATAAATAATAAATAAAAAAAATAGATAAATCATGATTATTGAATAAAAAAATATTTGAATATTGAATGAATATTAATAAAACTTACTGAACGCTTGGAAGCGTGAGATCGTGGATAGTGTTGTCTAGAAGATAAGGGAATGACATTTGCATCCGGTAAAGGGAGTTTCCGTGATTCTTCTCTTACTATTTTCCTTGGGTTCAATTATACACAAAGAAAGAGCGATCGTCAGTCTTCTCATCCAGCGCTGTGATTCGTCCAACTTTTCCAACCCAATCGGTATTCACCAATCATAGAACAGTTCAACAGAGGAAAAAAGAGAAATACTAGAAAATTTGAAAACACGTCTTAAAACTGATTTTGGATCTTATAAAATAAATGCTGGAAAGATATATATTGAATATATGTAAACTTGTAATAGATTAAAAGGATAGAAGCAATACTCAATGTTCGCGCAGGAGCTTTGAAGAAAATCCAAGTGTGATAAGATGGCGTCACGCACGTCAGACTAGGGAAGAAGTGAGGGGTAGAGGAAAGACAGGAAGGAGGCAGGCCAGGCGAACGTCGCCAGGGGACTGCGGTGTGACAGAGTGTGAATACGGTGCTGTCATGTCTTCTTTGAGCTTTAATAACGGCTATATTTCGATCACGGTGAAATCTTGTGCACGATCCATTGTTTAGTAATATTTTCAATGTCTTTGTTCGACAATAAGAACTGTTCTCGTTTTATCGTATTCGTTTCAATAATACGAAGACGGAGTTAATAGCGGCAATCAATCCTTTTGTGTTCGAGAAAGAACAAACGTGCAACGATAATCAGTTAGGTACTTGGGAGAGAGAACCTTCCTCTCGGTCCTGGACACGTCGAGGAGGAAGAGGAGACGGAGGCGAACTGCCAAAGAGATGCGCGAGTTCAAGGTAGTCGTCCTCGGTTCGGGCGGGGTAGGCAAGAGTGCACTTACCGTGCAATTTGTTTCGGGATGTTTTATGGAGAAATACGATCCAACGATCGAAGACTTTTATCGAAAAGAAATTGAAGTGGACAATTCACCGTGTGTACTCGAAATTCTTGATACTGCCGGTACTGAACAATTCGCGAGTATGCGCGATCTTTATATAAAGAACGGCCAAGGCTTTGTCGTAGTTTATAGTCTGACAAATCATCAGACTTTCCAAGATATCAAAGCAATGAAGGAATTGATAACACGCGTCAAAGGTACTGAAAGAGTACCAGTATTACTTGTCGCAAACAAGCTAGACCTCGAACATCAACGTGAAGTGGATACTGCTGAAGGTAATGCTTTGGCACAACTCTGGGGCTGTCCATTTGTTGAAGCATCTGCAAAACATCGCACAAACGTCAACGATGTATTTGCAGAAATTGTACGTGAGATGAACGTCAGCCCGGAGAAAGAGAAAAAAAGCTACTGTTGTTGCAGCATCCTCTAATAATTAATCAAAATCTTAAACCAGGCTAACCAAGCCATGTTAGGTGAAAGAAATGCATATAGTGGCTGATCGCAGTACATTAGATGAAATTTAATATTCATCTGGTGTGGCTACGCTCTCTTTCTTAGGCTCAATGTTGGGCTTGTGCTGTGAATTCGCCAATCTGTAAGACTAATATTATGATCATACCCAGGATTTTTGTGAATTCAAATATGTCAAAGACTCATGCCGTCTCTTGGTTCTTTTTCTATTGGAAAATCACAGCCTGCTATTTGGCTAGCTGTTAAATATTTTAATATACATGGATAGTATTATGTGTAATATTATTGTAATATATAATAGTAGTTATAAGTGAGCAATGAAAGAGGTAACTCCATCAGCAAAGGACCAATACTCGCGAGACAAAAAAAATGAAAAAAAAGAATAGCAAAATGGAATAGGAAAGGATACAGATATTGTCAAGGGTGATAACAGAACTGCCCTGTGGTAGTTGTTATTTGTTAACAGCGATATCAAACTCAATATATCTAGCTTTCTGCTCAATCTAAAAAAAAGCACCCGTTGCATATTTGTTCCAATCCATGAACCTCTATTACTCACAGGTTAGATGATTAACAAAACATCAAAACAAATTATTTGCAGATATTGAAGGAATCACTGTGGTGGTCAGCCATTTTCAAATAGTGAAAAAAATTTAAAACATCTAAATATATATACTGTTTACCATGTACAGAATTGGGAAGAAGATAGATTGTCTTAGATACATTGTGCAATGATTTCTATTAATGATATATTATCTATGCTCAATTGTCAGAGGCTGCAGTAAAAAATACATTTTATAAAGGACTCGAATGGTGTGTCGTTAATGGTATTGATATTGATTGTACAGTTTTAATAATATAAATACATTTTATTGAGATGAATATTAAAAATAGTCACTTTAATTGGTAGAATTTTATATTTGAGACTAGGATATTTAAATAGTTTTTTTCATGAATTTAATAATATGATTCCATTGCATACTACATATTATTTGTATGTATTTTTATTTTATAATTCAATAAGAATTATCTTAAAAACTCAACGTATATAATATTTTAATCAATCACAGTATAATGATGAAAAACATAAGAAATGAAGAAAGGAGATTGTAGTAATATTTATAAAAGAATGTTAATGCATAACGTCAATCATAATTATAGAATTTATATGGTAAAATGTAAAAACAAAAATACAAGATCTTTGTATAAAAAGTTTTATAACCAATTTTAAACAAAACCAGCAAGAGAAAATGAAACTTTGAAATATATATTTTCTTTTTGCAAAGGCTTGCTGGTACATTGATCCCTTCAACTGCAAAATACATATGTGGTATTCATAATAATCATACAATATATCCATTGCTTTATATAAACAAAAAATCTCCTTTCAAAATTGATTATCATTGAGTTCATGAATGTAAACGGATAGATATAATAAAAAAAAAAAAAAAAAAAAAAAAGCAATGGATTCCCTTATAAGTAGTAGTAGGTCGTGTGTAATTTTTCTCGTGTGATCAAAAATCATATTATCCGATGTTAAATATCGCTTTTATATTATAACAATCATTACATTAACTCGATATATTATTATTTAACGCCACCATCGAAGTCATTAATTTTTGTGTAATCGCCGCACAACGTACCTTAACAAAAATGAAGGTTGCTCGATCAATTATTTTTTCTTTTTTTTTTTTTATTTTTATTATTATAAATTTTATCGAAAGATATCAATCCCAATTTCATAAAAAAAGAACAAAACATGTATTTATAGTTTGTATAATATCTACTTATTCGCGTCTCAATTATCCGTCTTTCGGATCGATTACGAATGTTAAATTGTACACGACCGATAACACTTCCTAGTTTGAACTATCAAAGGACTATAACGCTGAAAAATTTCAAATGAACTGATGTACAGTATTTCTATCATTGGTAGTTAAGTGAAAAAAAAAAAGAGTCTAACGATAGAATTCTTGGGAAGAGTTATTGATCGTACACTTAATTGGTTCTTTCCAATTGTCGGTGCACTTTTAGAAATGTCATTTCGCAGCGAATATGCGAGGTTGAATGTTTTTCTTTATGACGTCACAAAGCATTTAGCTTTGTATGATTTCTTTAAAAATTTGTTTTTAATTTTCAAATCTTAGATTAAATTTAATTATATTAATTAGATAATTTGTTATTTCTATTTTTATTTTTTATTTTCATTCCAAAATATTATTATTTGTAATCTCATATTTTACAAACAAAATCATATACACGATATACATTAGAATAAGACTTGAATGTAAAAAGAAAAAAAAGAATTCGAAATAATCTCGCATATTCGTCTAATAAAGGGTGCTAATACGTTTCGTCAGTTTAAGATTGATGAAGCGTATATTACCGACGTAGCGAATCGGTCATCCATATTTCGTTACTGTACTCGAGTGTATAAACAGGCAAAGAACAAAAAGAAAAGGAAAAAGCATGGAGGGCAACAGATATAATTACTCGTATCCTGTATTTTATCACTTGGAAAATTCATAGTCTCGCTGTGATCCCGTAGATTATAACCGCAGTTTTTCTATTAAAAGATGATGATAATGACCGCGTATAGAAGCCTTTCAACGGCGAATCAAAGGGCCTCTTTGTGAAATGTGTAATCGCTCTCGCTCCTATTATCGTTATGTTTTTTTCGCCCTCCTGAGTTTTTTGTGCTTTGCAAAAACCATAGATTGACAAAAAGAAAAAAAAGAAAAAAAAAGAAAAAAAAAAACAAAGGAAAGAAAGTATAATATGAGGGAATAAAAGAAAGAAAAATAAGAACGCTCATTGACTGCCCGCAGGATAGCTTTCTAAGTATTATACATACACATTAATGCACGAAAACGAAATAAAGAAAAAAAGAAGTTTCTATATTTGTATCGCTTCTAAATGTAACACGTTTCTCTAGTGCGGGATCGCGTTTTAACAATATTTTTCTAAAGAATGCGCTGAAAATTTTTGTACATTTAAAAGAAGAAAAGAAACCCAAAAAAAAAGAAAGTAATAATAATGATAAAAAAACTGTTCTCTACTTGGAAAGCTATCGCACATTAAGAAAAAAAAATCGAGCTTCGTCTGAATGAGCATATCAACTGTCAAGGACCAGGTACGTTTCCTTCCTTGTTTTTTGGCCAGCAAATTTTTTAGTCATTTTGAACTTTCTTTTGTATAAAAGAAAAAGAAAAAAATTAAGCAAAGAAAGCACAAAAATTCACCATCTACAAACGATTCGCATACGATTTTATAATTAGATATAAATAAATGAATAAATAAATAAATGATATAAATATATAAATATAAATATATAAATATATATATATATATATATATATACATACAATATATATGTATACATGCAGATTTGTTACGCAACTGGGTCACATTAATTCGAAAAACACCACGATTTAGATATATATCGGCCTTTCAGTACTACCTGCGTATAATATTGAGTACGAAATACGTTATATTTTTTACAATGTGAAGAATCTGTAAATATTATAGCGTCGAATTATATAATAATAATAATAATAATAATAATAATAATAATAATAATAATAATATTAATATTAATATTAATATTAATAAAAGAAAAAAGAGATGAAGGAATACTGATCTGACATTCGAAAAGACAACAATGAGAATGGCTTACAGTAAAAAATGTGCATTTCATTGACAAACGACATTTGTGAAATATAATTATGTTTCTTTGTTGTTTTAGCGGTTTTCCTTTGGTTCGTTGTTCTTTGATCAGATTAAGCAATAATATCACTTGGGTAGACGAGAAACGGATACTCGAGACACTCGTAAACGAACACCATCTGCAAAAATTGTTTGCTGGTATTTCGATTTTCTTTTCTTTTCGTTTGTCCGCATTGAGAAAAGAGAAATAAACGAAATATGAATATGCGTTATTTTTTAGTAGAAAAAAAGAAAAAGTAAAATATAAAAGTATGTGATTTTCGCGTATTTTCCTATTTTTATTTTTTACAAGTAAAAACAAATATTTCTTGTTACAATATTCTCATTCTTGATTTTGGTTATTGTCAAATATTTTTTTAATTTAAACGTTTCATGTATTCCGTTTATATTACCAGCATAAAAATCTAGTCACTATAGAAATCTTGTAACTCAATGACATGGAAAAAGATGCATGATTAATATTGAAAAAAAGTAACAATTTTATTATAAGAGATATATAAAGATCTGTAATATCCTATTGTCTACTTCAATCAATTTTTAAATGAAATTATTTCAAATATTAATTTTCTAATATGACTTAATTAATTTAACATGAATTAAAATTTTATAATTGTTGATTAAAAAAAAATTAATTTTAAAGACAATAGGCTGGTACAGTAATTTTATTTAAGATTGCAGATCAATTTTTTCCATGAAAGCATTGAGACTATCCAGAGGAAACTACCCACTTGATTTTTGCCTGTCTCAATATTGGTGCACATTTTTTCTTTGTATGCAATTTTTTCACATTTTTTTATTACTAACCATTGTACTGGCATTTTGGAAATATCGCACAAATATAATATAGAATAAAAAGAAATAATAATTTGTATTGATTTTTAGACATTCCTATACAATATAAAAATTAAAAAAAATTTTTAATTCTAAATATAAAATTAAAGTAATATATAATTTTTTATTGATAATATATATAAAAAATTTCTATTATTTTTAATTTTTTAAAAATTGTTTCACATAAAGTAATATCATAATAGAATGATTAGAATATATTACTAATTGTTAATTTATTAATTATAATAATATTTGATATCTGTAGTAATTTATGTTTGCCTAAATGATAAGATTTTAATTTTTATCTAAATTTTTTTTCATTATTAATCATAAAAATATTTTTTAGATATTTTATGATTTATTATAAATTTTATAAAAATTTATATAACAAATTAATAATGAGTACAAATAATTTATAAATATATTAATTTTAATTAATTTTATAATTGATATAATTTTTTTTCAATATAAATATTTAAAAATATTTATATTAAAAATAAAGGATTAGTTAATAAAAAAGAGAATAGACAGAATTTTTATTTTAAATTTTAAAATTATAAGACGATAATAAAAGAAACTTTTTAAAATTATTTTTTATCTTTACAATGATTAAACAAATTCTTTAAATAAAATAAAATACATTTTAAGAAAAATATATAAATTTAAGATATTGGTGAATAAACTTTAACAAAAAAATTAACTCTTTTGATCTGCTTTTTAATTTACAACATTTGTTTTATTTCTCATTTACAATATTTTAGATGCTTTTCGTAATTAAAGATAATTTAATTCAAAACAAATAGTTCATTCATTTTTTTTATGCATTCGTAAGCTTCTGTTGCAGGCACTCTCATACAAGCAGAAATAACTTCATGTGTTATATAAAAATTTGAAACTTTTAGTGAATGAGGTATTTTACATGTTATTTCATTATATTCATTATTGTATTCAAGACACTGATCGCTAAAATGATGAAAAGTATTTAAAACATCTTGCAAAAAATGTACAGGATCATTTTCTGTATAATTATTTAAATGTGTAAGGCAATTAGTGAATAAATCCGCATAAGGACTATGTTTTATACTTCCATCAAGTTGATTAATATTTTTAATTAATGATTGATATACTTTCTCTTGATTTTCCATTCCTTCAACCAATACAAATGTTCTACAAAAACGTATAAAAGACTTAAGTAAAAATGCAAATAAATCGTTTCCACCGATGGCTGGATATTCCAAAGATAAGCAACATGCTTCCATTGTTAAACGAAGAAAATGATTGTATGCATCAATCTCATCATTCCATCCAAAAGCAAACCAATATATTATAGTAAGCTCTGAACCTAATCTTTGATATTCTTCTTCGGTTGAACGAATAATCAAATGACGCAAAAAGTCTTCTCTCAATAAACTCAAATCGGACAAATAATGTCGCAAACTTTCCGAAGTTTTTGGATCTTCTTTTAATCTATTTAAAACAACAAAACAACGTCTTTCATAATCTTCTATTATATCAATTACACCTTTATGCATTAAATACCAAAGGGGAGCAAAATGTAATGTGTCAATTGGTTCAATTATAGATTCAATTCCATCAAAAATTTCTTTTTTTATTGAAACAGAACAGATTTTATTTTCTAAAAAATATGGCAATATTCTTGTTATTTGGACAAATATTTCACTACTTATATATTTTGATATACTTGTATTTTTTCTGAGGAATGACATTTTTTTTGCAAGAGCTATTATCAAATCTTTAATATTTGTTTCTTTGGTACATTTAATTTGTAGCTTACGAATATTATTAAGAATGGAATTTATATTAGATACATTAAAAGTATCTTCCTTTAAATATGGTATGTAAACATTATTTATCAATTCATATACTTTAATTATAGAATTATCTAATATAACATTCACAAAGTCCACAAATTTTTTAGTGTTCCATTCTGTATTTTCTATACAAATAATTTTTAAGACACTTGTTATTAATATTTGATTATTATCTTCTCTTATTTGCATAAACGGTGATAATAAAAGTAAATCATTAGGAGAAATCATAATATTTGTATAATGAGAATAACCAATAGTAATTTTCAAAAGTATTGTCAATATCATTTTAGGATTTTTTAAAAGAAACAATAAAACGGTTTTTAAATTTGTAGAAGTTTGTAAATTTGCATTTCCCATAATGAATTCATGAAATGCTTCTTCCAAATGTGGAGATTCTAAATAATTTTTGCCATCATACTTTGTTAAATACATCATTACAATTTCATAAATATCTGGTATATTTTGACATGATAATATTTTCATAATTAAAATATAACTTGATTCTTTTAAATCTTCTGTAGTCGATTGAGTAAGAATAAAAGTAAGATATTGTAATAATATGAAACAGTCTTTCTTTTCTAATGAAGATCTATTATTATAAACAAAATTAAGTATTGTAGAATCCCATTCTTTATATCTACATAATAATTCTTTCATGAGTTCCTTTTTGCCATTGGATATAGCACAACAGAGTTCTGATAAACTTAAAACAAAAGTTGATTGTTTAGGATCTGATTTAGATGATAATTGTTGTAAACATTCTATTAAATGAATGTTTTTTGATAATTCTTCATCGTTTGTTAAAAATTCTATGAAATAATAACATTCAATACCAATAGAACGTTGTAAAGAAATCATTTTGTTTTCTTCATCATCCAACTCTGCCCAGCTTAAATAAATATTACAATCAATTTCTTTAATTTTATTTAACAATAAATTTATCAATTGTTGATTTAATGTTGATATAGTATTTTCTATCAATGTATTTTCATATTGTATATATGATTCTCTTCCAAATGTAATATTATATAATTTTTCAAGATCATTAAAAATAGATAGTCCTTTAGTTTTACATTCCAAACATCTCTTTATTGTACAAATTAATTTTTTTAACATGATACCATATCGTTCACATTTTTTTAAATCTGATACTTCTATCAAATAAGGTAATTTTGAATTTGTTAATAATAATAAGAATTCTTCGAAACTTAATAATAAATTTTGTATACTTTCTTCAATATTTTTGGATTGTACACTAAGTTCCTTTAATTGAAAGAACTTAGTATATATGATAAATATCAACTTATATATACTTTTAATTGATCTTTGAAAAGGTAATTTATCTATATGTTTTGTAGCTACTTTCACTATCTCTGTACAAAGATCAAATGGCATATATAAAAGAGATTCAATTAAAATATTCTCATATTCAAAATTCCATAATATTTGTATAAATAAATATGGAGACAAAGGTGGACACATATCAACTAAATGTCCACTAACAATATCTTCTCCCAATCGTTCTTGGTTTTCAAAATTAGTATTCAATAATAAATATTTATATGACTGTACACATTTTTCATTATTTATTGTAGTTTTTTCTCCTATAGGTATATCATAGGTTTTGAATATATTTGTTATTGATTTACATATGTCATCAATGTGATTATTATTTTCATTTGTTATACATGAAATAAGTAATTTCAATTCTCCACATTCTTGATTTTTTTTCATAAGATACATTTGAATTTTTTTGTAAAATTCATTCAATTTATCCATTTTTTTGAATAAAATTAAATTTAAATTCTTTCTTTTATAGATAAAAATTTATGTGTAGATCTTTTTATAAAGATCTCTGAAAATAATATAATGATTATTAAGTATATTAATTGTTAAAGTTATTAATAAATATAAATTTATAAAATTAATAAATATAGGTATTTATAATATCAAATAATTGAATTGAGAATATTAAAATTAAAATACATAAATAATTTAAATAATATAAAAATAAAATACGTAAGACATTAAATATCAACATTAAATTTTTATATTGGCAATATTTATCTTTTATATATTTAAAAAAATAAATAAAATAAAGACATAAAATTTTAAATTAAAAATAATATTTTAATATCAATCAAATAACTTTGTATGTAATCAGTAAAAGAACAACGTACCGGCTTTATATATATATATATATATATATATATATATATATACTATATATATATATATATATATATATAGTAAGGTAGATAGTTACATATTAAGGTTACGTCACTAGCAGATAAAAACTACAATCAATCTATACGAATTTGTTCATAAAATAAAAATGGTTCGTGCATGGTACATGGATAATAGTGATGTTGATCAACGATTAGAACATCATAAACAACCACCTGAATATATTTCTATTGAGAATTTATTCAAGATAACAGGTGTTGAATATTTTCAGGTTAAATCAAATTTATTTATTTCATTAAGATTTCTTTATTACAATTAAAATTTTATTATTTTATTTATTAATATCTTTAATTTTGGTTTTAATCTTTCATTTTATATTAAATAAATGTCTCTATTAAAAATTATAAAAGAAAAATTATCTTAAAATTTAACCTTCATATGTTATTGATTAAACTAGTTAAGTAAACTACTTTATATTATCATTTTATTTCTTATTTAATCTAATAACATTATTATAGATTAATTATAAAAATTATAAAAATGATAACATATTGACAGAATTAAAAAAAAAACGTTGTTATACGTACGAAGATGAAATAGAATGTTCCAAGAAATGTCTTTCAAATTACGAAGAGAAAGTAAGTTAAATTCAAATTTTTAATGTTTGTCAATGCATTTAAATTGTGATTTATAAAAAATAAAATTACAATAAACGCTATTTTAAATTTTTAGTTAAAAAATTTTTTTACTGAGCATCTTCATACTGATGAAGAAATAAGGTTAATTTTAGATGGATCAGGATATTTTGATGTCCGAGATAAAAATGATCAATGGATACGTATTGAAGTTCAAGCTGGAGATTTAATAATTATTCCTAGTGGAATATATCACAGATTTACTTTGGATATTAACGTAAGAACTCTTAAATATTTAAAAAAATTTTTTATTTTAAAATTTTATCCATCTTCTTTTCATTATATAGAATTATATAAAAGCAAAACGTTATTTTGTCGGAGAGCCTGTTTGGTTGCCTTATAACAGACCAGCTGATGATATGGAATGTCGTAAAAATTACTTAAATCGTTTGAATCATGGTTTTGAAGTAGAAGTTGTTTAATCCTTATTATAAAATTTATACAAATAATTAATATTTTTTTAAAGAATAATATAGAATATCAAGTTATATTCAAATTAAAATTCTAACAGTAAATTTTACATAATTAATGTAATAATATATCATTTATATATATAACATTCCAATGTATTAAAAGTTCTTTTTATTCAGATATAACTGAAATATCAAATTTGTATAGCATGTATGTACAAATTTTGTAACATAATAATTGTTAAATATAAATTTTGTAACTTTTAATATATATAAAATATATAAATTATATTAAGAATTAAGATTTCATATCCATTATATTTATCAGATTCATATCCATTATATTCCTATTAATTTTTCTTTATTAAATTATATATATATATATATAATATATATATATATATATACATAAAAAAAGTTTTATATAAATACTGTTGATTTATTTTAATTGTTAAATATTTGTTTTTCACTTCGATTTTCACATTTTTAAACTTCATTCATTCATTGATTTCTTAATTAACTAATTTCTTATTAATACACATTTTAAAGTAAAATCGCAATTTAATAATATTGTTATCTAACAAATATTAATACGCAAAATAATGTCATAATAAATATACAGTATTATAACTTAATAAGTGTAATAAACAAATAGGTCCAATTATTTATCTCTACATACATATTATTGTCAAAATATAAAAATTTGAGAAAAATAAATTTTACAATTATCAATCTTTGTCTTTATAATGTACACTTCAATTCTAATAAATGAGAGAAACAAAACAATAAAAAATATTGTCTCGAAAAAATATAAATAAAATGATCTTATTTTGTATATAAATAACAAAAGATTTAAAATTATGTAATTCTTCATTTCAAGAAAAAAAAATATTTTACCATTATTTTTGTCTTATAAATTAAAATTCAGCATTAACAGTAAAATTGCTTTCAATTCTATCTTGCATTACTCCCCATTTTTGATATTCTCCCACTTTTTTTTCAAAGAAGTTTGTCTTACCTTCTAAAGAAATATGTTCCATGAAATCAAACGGATTTTCAGACATATATATCTGAAATTGAAAATATTTTGAGTTAATAATCATAAATATATCATTATTAATTGATAAATATTATTATTAAAATTATAATATTTTTACAAACCTTTTTACAACCTAATTCTACAAGTAATCTATCTGCAACAAATTCGATATATTGACACATAAGTTTACAGTTCATGCCTATCATTTCAACAGGTAATGCATCTGTCAAAAATTCTTGTTCAATTTTGACAGCATCCTTAATAATTGATGTGACTCGTTCAGAAGATGGTTTTTGTACAATGTGTTTGAACATTAAACATGCAAAATCACAATGTAATCCCTAAAAAAAAATAATTTTGAAACATTTAATATATTTTCTATTTCTTATTTTATAAATATATAAATTAATTTCTTTATCAAATATTTTTACTATATGCACTAACCTCATCTCTAGAAATAAGTTCATTGCTAAATGTAAGTCCTGGCATAAGACCTCTTTTTTTTAACCAGAAAATAGCAGCGAAACTACCACTAAAGAAAATACCTTCTACTGCAGCAAAAGCAACCACACGTTCAGGAAAAGTGGCACTTTCATGGTTTATCCAATTTAACGCCCAATGAGCTTTTTTTGCAACACATGGCAAATTTTCAATAGCGTTAAATAAGAAGTCTCTATAGATAAAAATAAAATATCAAATATAATAAACAAAAATTTAATAATTTATTTAAAAAATATTTTATTTATTTACCTTTCTTTTGCATCTGCAATATATGTATCAATTAACAAAGAATACATTTCTGAATGAACATTTTCCATGGCAACTTGAAAACCATAGAAACAACGTGCCTCTGTTATTTGTACTTCTTGACTAAATCGTTCAACAAGATTTTCATTGACAATTCCATCAGAAGCTGCAAAAAATGCTAAGACATGAGATATAAAATGTTTTTCACTGGCAGTTAAATTATTCCAATCAAATACATCCTATAAAAAATATATAATTATTAATAACTTATATTTTTTTTTATATATAACTAGTTAAAAAAAATTATACTTTAGAAAGATCCACTTCTTCCACTGTCCAAAAAGATGCTTCAGCTTTTTTATACATTTGCCAAATATCAGGCCATTGAATAGGAAAAACAACAAATCTACGTGGATTTTCTTTCAATAATGGTTCTAATTCTGGATTAAATTTATTTTCTTTCAAATACATGTTTTGTATAGCTTTTGCATTTACCTGAAATATATAATTAACAAATATATTTATAAAATATTATAATAAATTAATATTATCATATAAAAACAAATCAATTATTTACCACATTTTTACTATTATTGCCTTGAGAAATAATTGGTAAAGTACATAATTTCTTTGGAGAAGTCTGAAAATAAAGATACTAATATAAATATAAAAAAACTTTCAGTAAATAAATAATTAAAATAATAAGTATAATTAAAAAGAATTTTTACAAATAAGAATTATATCAGTTTAATTTTTCATAATTTTTCATAAAAGATATAAAAAATGTTTCCAATTATAAATTATATATCTATTATATTTCAAATAATAGAGTTATATAAAAAATCATAAAATTACAAATTTCATTATATTACATAATTGTATATAATAATATTTGCACAATTAAATTATGAAGGAATAACTATGATAACCTTAAAATATATAAATATTATTTTTTATCTAAAAGTATAATAATTATGATAAATTGCTATAAATAATTATTATAAAATAATAAATTTTCTACAGAATAGATTTTACTTATGCAATATATATATATATATATTCATATTTATATGTTAAAATTAGTTATCAAAAAATTTTAATTTCTTATATTATATACCATAAAATTAATATTTAATTATTAACAATATTAATTTTTTTGCATTAATATTACAAAAAATTTATATTATTATATTAATATTTATATATAAAAAAATAATAAAGAATTATGACTTATCTTTGTTAACACAAAGAACATATAAAATTAATAAAAACAATTTTATATATTATTTAGTTAATGTTATAAATTATGTTTTTATTATATGATGAATTCTTAAGTCTTTTATTTTACATGCAATAAGCATAAATTTTTAATTTATTACAAATCTAATATTATGATCCAGATTCTTAATCTGATATTACAAGAAAAATTATTTACACTGAATTTTTTTCAATAAATATTTAAAAATTTAAAAATATAATTTAAATAAATACTATAATTATATAAAATAAATATATAATATTTATTTATAATAAGAATGAAATAAAAGAAAAAATATTTTTATTGATATTAAGAATTATTTAAAAAAATAAAAATAATAATTACATATTAAGGAATATTAAAAATATAAAAAATATTTATTCAAAGCAAATAATTTATTTAAAACTGTAATAGTGTGTACTGTAATATATGTATAGCACATTATATATTTTAGATACATATTTTTTTATAATTTTTTATAAAAAATATAAAGAAAATTAAGAAATCACCACAAAATAGAAAATTTTTTAAATAAATTAATATTATGATTGAATAAAAATATTAATGAACTCACCTTATCTTTTAAAGAAACGTTCTCCAAATGTTTACGAATATTTTCTTTAGTGGAAATTTGAAGTGGCATTATAATAATCAATAATTATGATAGAAAAAGTACATAAAATAAAATAAAATAAAAGTAAAATAAAGTAAAGTTATAATAAAATGTATCTAAACTTTACTGTAGTCTATGAAAAGCAGAGACTCAAATGCTAAAATGTAATACCAGACAGAAATATTCTTCATTGATACCATTTCCGTCTGTTTCGCGCCAAATTATAACTAACCAATTAATGTGTTACTTTTTACCGCCAAAATCCATTTGCATCTATAATATCAAAACAAGCATAGATTTATGAATAATAATTTTTAAAAAATTTTTTAAAATAATCTTCTCAATCTTTTCAATGATAATAAATATAACAAATATAATACATTGTCATTGATTTTTCCCGCTTATTTCTGAGATTATAATTTTTGGAAAGAATCACTATTACAAACTTAAGATATGATTTTCATTGAACAAACAACGTAAAAATTCCATTACTTATTCGTTATCTAATTTAATACTAATTGATTGAATATTTCTAGACAATTCTATTTATCATTTTCTTAATTTTAAATATTATTTAATAATTAAATATAAATATAAATTAATTTTTACATAAGATTTTTTATTAAATTATTTTATAAAAAATAATTGAAAAATATTTGAACAAATAATAAAACTAAATTTATATAAAAATAAAAATTTGTTTAATGAATATATATATATATTTATTGAAATTGAATACAATTGAATACAATTGAATTTAAATTAAAAAAGGAATTTCTAGTTTTTAAAATATTATGTTTTTAATTATATAAATAAAAAATTTACAATATATACATATATATATATATATTAAAATTTTCGAACATATATTTTAAAATAAATAATCATAAACATTATTGAAATTGTATTATTGATATTATAAAATTTTGAATACTTATAAAAAACATATTTTATTTGTTTGTAGAATTAATTAAATATTATTATTATAAAATATATATAATATATTATAAGAGATAAATGTTTATGATGCCAATAAAATGTCAAATTTATAAGAGCGCCATTTTATGTTATCATAAAAGATTTGATTAATTCTATATTTTTATGAAAAATTGTAATTTGATTAAATATTGGCTTTTTTTTGATTAGTATTTTTATCATTAAATATTCTTCTTAAGAATATGCTTAATTTAAAAAAATAAATTTTCGTAAGTTAGAAACAGATAACATCGAAAAACGATCGCACTCTATACGCTTCAAATTTTAGGTTAGTATCTAAATCTAAACAATTATTTTGTTTACTTGTTTATTATGAAATTATAGTTAAATGTATATTAAATATTATATTACAGTATCATATAATAAATTAAAAATATAATTAATTAATGTATATTTTTATATATTTAATATAAATATAAAAATAATTATATATGTAAAAATAATTATATATTTATCATATAATTTATATTTAGTATGAATTACTATAGGTGACAAAAATATAAAAAAAAATGGCGTTACATAGTGTACCGCCAAAAAGAAAAGAAATTTATAAATATGAGGCACCATGGCCACTATATAGTATTAATTGGTCTGTAAGACCTGATAAACGATTTCGTTTAGCTCTTGGGAGTTTTGTGGAAGAATATAATAATAAAGTACAAATAGTTTCACTTGATGAAGAAACCTCTGAATTTAGTGCCAAAAGTACATTTGATCATCCTTATCCAACTACAAAAATTATGTGGATACCTGATAGTAAAGGTATTATTTTTATTATATTATACATTATATATTATACATTATGCATATTTTATTATAAATGTTTACAGGATTATTTCCAGATCTTTTAGCTACATCTGGAGATTATTTAAGAGTTTGGCGGGCAGCTGAACCAGAAACTCGCTTAGAATGTGTTTTAAATAATAATAAAAATTCAGATTTTTGTGCTCCTCTTACATCTTTTGATTGGAATGAAGTAGATCCAAATTTAATTGGTACTTCTAGTATAGATACAACATGTACTATTTGGGGATTAGAAACTGGTCAAGTTTTGGGTAGAGTCAATATGGTCACTGGCCATGTTAAAACACAATTAATTGCTCATGATAAAGAGGTATATGATATAGCATTTAGCCGCGCTGGCGGTGGTCGTGATATGTTTGCATCCGTTGGTGCAGATGGTTCTGTAAGAATGTTTGATTTGCGGCATTTAGAACATTCAACGATAATCTATGAAGATCCCCAGCATACACCACTCTTGAGACTGGCATGGAATAAACAAGATCCTAATTATCTTGCAACAGTTGCAATGGATGCATGTGAAGTAATTATTTTAGATGTCCGTGTTCCATGTACGCCAGTTGCGAGACTTAATAATCATAGGTATATAAAATATATATATTTGGATCTTAATTTTTTACATATTTTATAAATTTTTTATTTTGATATTCACACTTTAGAGCAAGTGTTAATGGTATTGCCTGGGCTCCTCATTCATCTTGTCACATTTGTACAGCAGGAGATGATCATCAAGCATTAATTTGGGATATCCAACAAATGCCAAGAGCTATAGAAGATCCAATTCTTGCTTATACTGCTGCAGAAGGAGAAGTAAATCAAATTCAGTGGGGTGCTACACAACCTGACTGGATTGCAATTTGTTATAATAAAGCAGCAGAAATTCTTAGAGTGTAAAAACAAAAACATTTTTCATTAGATTTATGACATTTTATATGTCAAATTTTCTTTTCAAATCATTTACTAAAATTCATTAAATTATGTATTGGACTTCAGTATTTGTACAGAATTTCATCTTTATTATAAGTTTTTTTATACTTATTTTGTACCTGTAAAATAAACATGTACAAATACTAGTTATTTTTGAAGATATTAAGATATTCAAAATTATATAGATAAAAATATATGATGTAATTAATGGTTATTTTTTAATTAAAAAATATGCATAAATTTTAAAACAATATGGTTTCATATTTTGTAAATTCAAATTATTAGAGTAAATAAGACTAAATTGATTTGAAAATATCCAGTATATGTACATGTTAACTTAACGATAATACAATGTTTTATTTTTATGACTATTTTATATATCTAAAAATTTTAGATTTATTTAAAAATTGTTATATGACTGACTAAATCATACAAATTTATAAAAGAATTCATTAAATAATTAGAAGTTAAATAATACCATAAAAATGAATATAAATAGCGATAAATCACATGTATATTTATAATAATGTATATGATCGTAATCGATGTATCTTATTTTGTAATGATAAAATTAACCTATTTCTTCTAGAAGAAATATTAAATCAATTAATCAATTTAAACAATCCACATGAAATGCAACAAAATAAAATATATCTATTACGTTATATAATTGTATATATGTTTATACTTAGACTTGATTTTGTAGAAAAAAATATAATATAATAATAGATTTTCATACACTTTTACATTAGTAATATAGGTTGTTAAAAATCATATGCAAAAATTATTATTATATTAAAATGCAATACATATTTGTATTTTAATAAAAAAATTATCAAATTCTTTTATTAAATTGAAAAAAAGTTATAGCAGTAGCATTCGTGATACTAGTATTAATAATAAAATGTTTTACATGCGATTTTTTGTAAAATTATGTTTTGTAAAAAGTAAATCTTTTTATATATTTATTATTTCAGTAGTTTAAATTAATCATTAAGAACTGAGAATTATATCTTTTATACTCAGAATAACGTGATGGGATTTGTAATTAGTACAATTTAAGTTTTAGAAAAGTACGATTTATATTGGTACTCAAATATTTTATAATTTACAACTATAATGAGCGAGATGCATTATTTACAATAATGAAATGTGTATGCGAAACAAAATATTAGCCAATTAATACATTCATTTTGCATAATAATCTTCTGTTGATTTTTCATGAAATATCTGATAACTTTATACAGATATAAGATTAGACTATTATAATACTATCACTACTTCAATAAATATCATTAACTCTGATACAGAGTAAATTTTTCACTACCTATTTAATTAATATAGTTGATGATCTTGCATTTTCTTCTTTTTCTCAATTTAATTAAGTGCATATAGCTATGTCAAGTAAACTTTTTAAAATATTATTTCTATCAATAATTTATATTAAACTTTGGCAAGATTTATTTTATCTTGTTTTCTTTTCCAAGAATAAATACTTCTTTAAATTTCGTATATATTCGCTTAAAAAATAAGAACTAATCATACATTTTTCTCTCTTTCTAAATTGCGTATTTTATTTACTAATCCTATGATTCATTCATTCCTTAGACACCAAGTGATTCTCTTACATTTTAATCGGAAACACACGCACGATCCACAAACACGCACATTACATATTTCAGAAGAAAGGAACAAACAAAAAATTAGGTAATCAATGTTAAAAACTAATCATCTTGCAATTAAACATAAAAATCTTATGTTTACAGTCATTTGTATATCGGTACATTTTTATTATAATTAATGCATCGCGTTAATAATAAATTAATAAGTCATGTTTTTTAGAAGTTTTACAAATACTTCCATAAATTATACTGAACACTCGTTCTACAGGTATATAGATCAAGTTCAGCTTTTTTATTCTCCATGAATAATATGGAATATTTTAGAATATTCAATTCATTGTTGGGCAAATAATCAGCCTCATGGCTCTTATTTCTTTTAGAGAATACATTTATCTTCATTAAATATCTTCTGTACTCTAGCAGTAAATATTAATAATGAAATCAATTAGCGTTTTTTGCTAATAGTTACGTAATATAATTACTCTGTAATTAGAGGATTTTTAATACAGATATATTCAATAAAATTTATATTTAGTGATGTTTTTTAAAGTACGCATAATTTATTAGCTATATAATGAAGGTGTAGCACTGTACATCCCATAGTCAGCATATTTCCCATTGCTATATAAACATGGATGCGTCTAAAAGCTTGATGAATTTTTAAATAATGAGGGCAATGTTTCAGAGGACCAGGATTATGAACACCAATCTCATTACCGATACCAGCAGCACGTTCCAAAGTATTTTTTTGAACTATTAATCGTAGAAGAGGTGGAGTCAAATAAAGTCGTATCAATAACTCCAAAAAGAAAGCACTGGACATACCACCAACCTGAAAATATATGCATATATTTATTAATTATTAAGAATCACTTTATAAAAATTAGATAAAATATAAAAATATATTAGAATAAAATATTAAAATTATGTCTTGTATTGCTTAAATTTTATAGAGTTAGTTTTCAAATTTTGATTGATTAATTTACCAACCTGAATGGCAATTTCAGTATTCCAAGTATGTATAGGATGATGTTTAACAAAAATAAGAAGTGTGGTCAAACTGAGACACGCATTGATAGTGAAATATCTAGGGAACAAGATGCGTTGCACTTCTCCAAACGTGTGTCTTGGTAATGCGAAATATAAAGAAAGACCTGCATATTTAAAAGGCAATTTTTTAAGTTTCAATGATTGAAATTTAAAATTTTTTTAATTTTTGTTTCTGTTTTATTTAATTACCTGATATAAAAGTCATCCAAATTTGAGCACCAAGATGCATCACGAAAGAAGCTAGATAAATGAAAGATGTTGCTCTTGATTGAGGATGACCAACATGCATTCTGTCTACATTCTGTCTTGGTACAAGAGCCGATGTGACACACAGGACCGCTGCGATCATAATTATGTGAGCCGGTTGTGTTGTATAAAACAAGATTCTATAAGAAAAGAATTTTTATATTAATAATAGCATTAAAAAGTATTATTATATATACTATATATATATATATAATTTTTGGTATGATTTTTATTATAATAATTATAATATAAAAATAAAATATTATATTAAATATCATATTAAAATATATAAATATTATATTAAAATATCATTTTAATATTAGAATTATAGATATATAAAAAAAAATCTTAATTAAACGAATTGTTAAAAAAATTAATATATAATTTATTTGGAAGTTTTCAACAATCTTATGTATATAGATCAATTATTTTTTCCAATTTAATAAATATAATTATTTTCAAAAAATATATTTAAAAATTTTTTTATTGTTATGTTAAGTATCATTTTTTTAAAATCATTCAGAAAAAATTAATATTTTGATTATCATTGAATAAAAAAAATTATTTGAATTATTTTTTAAAAATTATTTCAATAATTATTTTATTTTATAATATGAGTTTTTATATTCCAATTTTTTCATATTATAATGGAATATATATTATAATTTTTATATATTTCATTTTTTTTAATAATATTGACAATTTCATGATAAATTATAATTTCTTTTAATATTTTGTTCAAGTGTTAAAAAGATTTGTACGAGTTATATATATATATTTGTTGTATCGTTTTGAAGGATAAACCATTTACGAGTTAGACTTATAATTTCAGAATGTAAGAGTGATCATTAATTATATTCATTGCTATCGTTCGTAGAAAGCCATCTCATTAATTAGAAGAGCTTCGAATACTTTTAATTGGAAACAACAGTTCGTTTATAAGTTGACTACAAGAAACACTTGTATTTGAAATTTTATTGCAAACTTTGTGCTAAAATATTTTAATTTTAATTTTCAGATATTATAAATTTTTTTATAGAAATTAATGTAACATAAAAAATGAAAAATATATTATATTTAATACATAAATATTAAATATAATTTAAATATTAAATATTAAATATAAAAATATTAAAAATAATTTAAATCTCTCTTTTTAAAAAATTATATTCATGAAAAAAACTATAATCAAAAACTTGTTTATTATTTATTCACTTTCAAAAAATAAAAGAATAAAAATTCATGAATAATTTAAATATAAAAATTTTTTATTTAAAAAAAAATAATTGATTAGATTTAATTCAAAATCAAAAGACAATATACAACAACCTTATCATCGATATGATTTACACTATTCGTAATCATATTTTATTGATGCTAAAATAGTACGATGTCTCGCAACAATTTCAGCAAAGAAGAAATTCATTCATCGACTACTTCTAAATTAAATCGTATTATTTTCTAGTCAAAAAATAACGAAAATTAATGAAAGATATAAGGAAAAAGTTAATAAATTAAAAAAAAATAAAAAAAATATTAAAAAATCAAACAAAAGGAAAGAATTAAATAAATTTTACAATTAACAATTAAATATATAGAAAAATCTAAATGTCTAAATGGTTCTAAAAATAAAAATATTTTTATTTATTTTTTAGTACAAAAATTTACTTTTTAATTTAAAAATATTTGATTAGATATTTAACAATGAATTTGTTAAAAAATAAATAAAATTTTTTTTATATATTTTTTTAAATTGAAGTATACTAAAAAAAATAAATCAAAATATTAGATACAATATCAATATTATATTTTTGTTATTTAAATTTATTTTTTAAATTTATTATTTTAAATTTCTTAATTTTAAATATATCTTTATATTTCTTTTTTCTTTTTTTTTTAATTGGAATGAAATAATATAAAATAGATTATGAAATAGCAACTTCAGTCTTTCATTAACAGATTATTTTCCTTTTAAACAGAAAAACACGCATACCGTGAATGATGAATTTGCTAACTGTTCTTTTTCGAGATAATACTAAGTGGATGTTGCAATATCTTACGAAATGAAAATCGAAAATATATGGATGAACGAATGATAAATGACGTAATCATTTTCAAAAATACAATATTAAAATAAAAGTAAAAATAACAAAATAATGTAAATAATAATATAATGTATATTGTTGAAGGATAGAAACAGTGTCAGGAGCTCGAGAGCATTCGTTTTATATATATATATATATTTGCCGTATGCCTTCCATATCGATGTAATCAATTCGCACGTAGGCGATAGAAGCGGAAAGTATACCGTTATGCTTAATG